TATTTTTGGGATATTTCTGGAACATTTTTGGGGATATTTTTGGGGTATTTCTGGGATATTTTGGGGACATTTCTGGGATGTTTTGGGGCTCCCAGGGCTGCATGAACAATGTCACGTTCGGCTCCGATGCTGGCGGTTATTACGAGACCGTGGCCGGGGGCGCCGGGGCCGGACCCCACTGGGGGGGGCGCAGCGGGGTCCACACGCACATGACCAACACCAGGATCACCGACCCCGAGATCCTCGAGAGCCGGTGGGTCTGGGGGCTCCGGGGGGTCTGGGGGGGTCCCGAGGGGGTCCCAGGGGGGTCTGGGGGCGATTTTGGGGGGTTTTGGGGGTCCTGGGGGGTTTTTGGGGGTCCCCACTGACCAACACCCGCATCACAGACCCCAAAATCCTTGAACTCCGGTTGCTTTGGGGGTCCCAGGGGGATTTGGGGGGGTCCTGGGGGGATTTTGGGGGTCTGGGGGTGTCCCGGGGGGTTCTGGGCAGGTTTGGGGGTCTCGGGGTCATTTGGGGGTGTCCTGACCCCCCCCTTTCCCCTCCCCCCACAGGTACCCGGTGCTTTGGGGGGTGTTCAGGGGTCCCAGGATGATTTTGGGGTCTCGGGGTGATTTTGGGGTCCCGGGGCGGTTTCGGGGTGTCCTGACCCCCCCCTTTCCCCTCCCCCCACAGGTACCCGGTGCTCCTGCGGCGTTTCGAGCTGCGGGGGGGCTCGGGGGGGGCGGGGCGGTTCCGGGGGGGGGATGGGGTCATTCGGGAGCTGCAGTTCCGGAAAGCGACCGAGCTGTCGGTGCTGAGCGAGCGCCGGGCAACCAGGCCCTACGGGATGGCCGGTGAGAGGCCCAAAAACACCCCAAAAACACCCCCAAAACACCCCGAAAATATCCCTGAAATATCCCCAAAATATCCCCAAAAACATCCCAAAAATATCCCTGAAATATCCCCAAAATATCCCAAAAGTACCCCAAAAACACCCCCAAAATATCCCCAAAGTTATCCCCAAAACCATCCCAAAAGTACCCCAAAATATCCCTGAAATATCCCCAAAATATCCCCAAAACCATCCCCAAAAGTATCCCAAAAATATCCTAAAATCATCCCTGAAATATCCCAGAAATATTCCAAAAACATCCCAAAATTTTCCCAAAATGTCCCCCAAATATCCCTGAAATATCCCAAAATTACCCCCAAAATTATCCCCAAAAATACCCCAAAATTACTCCAAAAAATCCCTGAAATATCCCCAAAATATCCCAAATTATGCCCCAAATCGTCCCCAAAATCCCCCAAAACCAACCCCAAACTCCCCCAAACTCCCCCAAACTCCCCCAAACTCCCCAAATCCCCCCAAATCCCCCCAAATCCCCCCAAATTCCCAATTTTTTTTATTTTTTTTTGTTTTCCCAGGGGGTCTCCCGGGGGCTCCGGGGCTGAATTTGTTGCTGCGCCGGGACGGGAGAATCATCAACGTGGGGGGGAAGAGCCAGGTGGCGGTGGAGCCGGGGGTGAGCCA